AAGAGATATCAATACAATTCACTTTACACATAATTCCATCAACTTTGAATTTATAGAAATAGACCCACTTCATAAACACATTTTGGGGTTTTGTAGAATACAAGGATTCATGGAGTTTTTCATCTTAAAACATCAAATAAACATCAATAATATCATAACTTATCATTTGAAATCGTTTCATGCAAGAACCCATGAGTTTGAGTAGAAATTAGGCTTTTTCACAAACTTTGGAAAAGTTGAAAACCATTTGAAATTGGCTCTAGGGTGATAGTTTGCCCTAGATAAAGAACTCCCATACCTTTACTAAGATTCACCAAGAAATTTGATGAAGAAAACGTCTTTGCATCCACAACCCTAGCTCCCACTTCTTCTTCTTCTTCTCTTCTTTCTCTCTTCTTCTCTTCTTCACTCAAGAACCCTAACTCTTACTCTTTTAAAATGGAACAAAAATGATCCACAATCAGCCTAACACAACAATATAACCTCAAAAGAAATGATTTGTGAAAAGACCAAAATGCCCTTAAATTTCCGGACGGACTCACTGCCAACTGCCAGCTGCCCAACTTTCAAAGGGAATAACTCGCTCATACGAACTCGGAATCAAGCAAACTCGGTGGCGTTGGAAAGATCGTTCCAAGGGATTTCCAAACATAACTGGAACTACTCCTGGATCATTCTGAGCTAGGAGTTATGACTGCTCAAAGTTGGCCAAAAACTCAGTGATTTCCACACTAGGCCGAATTTCCAGATTCTGAATTTTTTTCCAAAAAGGACTACTTCCAATTTCAAGCTTCTTCATATTCATTTTAAATTGTCGGATGTTACAATATATATGCATGTCTACTACTTTATAGTATCATTTATAAAATGTATGTTAAGGAAACATAGGGACACATGAACTACTAAAATATTGCCAAAAAGAGACCGAAAAAAGCGACGGACTGCGTCGCTTTTTTGGCCAAAAGCAACGCAATCAATCTCGTCGCTTTTTGGCTTGACGCTTTTCCAAAAGCAATGGACTGCGTCACTTTTAACTTTTTTAAAAAAATATTTTGTTTGAAGAATGCGACGTCCTCCGTCGCTTTTTTTTTTAAATTTTAAAAAAGAGACGAAGTCCGTCACTTTAATTAATTTTTAATTTTTTTAGAATCTTGAAAAGCGACGGACAATGAGACGCCGTCCGTCGCTTTTTTGGAAATAAAATTTTCAAAAATTTAGAAAAGCGACGAACTAAAGGACCCTGTCCGTCGCTTTTTTGGGCTTTTTTAAAAAATAAAATCCAGAAAAGCGATGGACAAAACCACCCTGTCCGTCATTTTTGCTGCAATTTTTTTGGCAGCAGAAACTGTCAGTTTCTGCTGCCCACCTGCAAAAGCAATTCAACTCAATTCAATTTAATTCAGCCCCAATCAAACACAAAACATTATAAAGAAGCTACACAAAATATAAAATAACAACTTAAATCAACATTAAAAAATATCTAAATCACAATATAAAGACTTATAAAGTCTTTCAAAATTCGTTTCAAAATTACAAATAGTTCATAAAGACTACATTTTATCAAGATTTCTAAAGTTCAACCTAATAATTAGTTCATAAATTCTATAAATCAAGATTCCTAAAGTTCACAACCTAAAGTTTAAAATCCTACAATAATTCAAGATTTCTAAAGCTCACAACTTAAAGTTCTAAAATTCCACACTAATTCAAGATTTCTAAAGTTCACAACCTAAAGTTCTAAAATCCTACAATAATTCAAGATTTCTAAAGTTCACAACCTAAAACTCTAAAATCCTACAAAAATTCAAGTCCTCTAAAGTTCACAACTTAAAATTCTAAAATCCTACAAAAATTCAAGTTCTCTAAAATTCACAACTTGAAGTTCTAATATTCTACTATAATTCAAGATTACTAACGTTTCACAACCTAAAGTTCTAAAATCCTACAAAAATTCAAGTTCTCTAAAGTTCACAACTTAAAGTTCTAAAATCCTACAATAATTCAAGATTTCTAACGATCACAACCTTATAAAGTTCTAAAATCTTACAAAAATTCAAGTTCTCTAAAGTTCACAACTTTAAGTTCTAAAATCATACAATAATTCAAGATTTCTAAAGTTCACAACCTAAAGTTCTAAAATCATACAATAATTCAAGATTTCTAAAGTTCACAACCTAAAGTTCTAAAATCATACAATAATTCAAGATTTCTAAAGTTCACAACCTAATTAAAGTTCTAAAATCCTACAAAAATTCAAGTTCTAATTAAATTCAATAATTCCTATCCAATTTCTAAAATTAGTTATATATAAACTTCTAATCCAAGAATTAATTAGTTATATTCAAGTTCCAAGTTCAAGTTCAACTTCAAGTTCTAAATTCAAGTTCATATCTAGTTATATATAAACTTCTAATCCAACAATTAGTTATATATTCAAGTTCTAATTCAAAAAAAAACTAATCGATCAATATATATTCATGACATTCAAACATTCATCACTATATAGTCATGCCATTCAAACATTCATCATATACACTTCAATTACTAATTTCTAACTTCAAAGTAACACTTTACTAACTAACAATATATCAATCAAATTTTTAAAAAAATCTTAATTCACAATCAAATTACATATTCTCAAGTTCAAACTAGTCCTAAAATAAAAAAAACACTAATTCATTCACTAATTACAATACCCAATTTAAAAGAAAATCCTAAAATAAAAAATCTCCAATTCTCTACTTAACTAACAATAATCAAATCAAATTAACAATAACACAACCCAACAAACTAAAACAATAATATACTAACTAACAATCAACTATAATCACTAGAATTGAAAATAAAAAACCTAAAACTAAACACCAACCTTAACAAAGAGGAGAGGCAACGACGAGCGGTGACGGACGGCGATAGGCAAGGGCAGTGACGGCGGTGGAGGTAGAGGTGGAGGCGGCATCTGGTGGAGGGAGATCGATAGAGAGAAGGGAGAGAATAAGAGAAGAAGAGAGAAGAGAGAGAGAAGAAAATAAGAAAATCCCGATCTGGGTCAAAGATATTTTAAGAAAAGCAACGGACAACGTCTCTTTGTCCGTCATTTTTTTAAAAATAGTTGACCAAAATTTTGACCAAAAAAGCGACGGACTAAGAGACGCTGTCCGTCGCTTTTCTTAAATGTTTGACTAGTCATGTTGACCAAAAAGCGACGGACTTAGAGATGTTGTCCGTCGCTCCTTTAAAAAAATAATTAATCAATTAATTATTAATTATATATATATTTCGCGCAAAAATCCGCGAAAAGAAGTGACGGACTAAGAGATGCTGTCCGTTGGTTTTTGAAAAATAATTTTAAAAATAATTATTTTTATTAAAAAGCAACGGACAGTGTGGAAAATGGCGTCGCTTTTTGGAGCGACGTCGTCCATTGCTTTTCTGTCCGTCGTTTTTTAGCAGTTTTTTAGTAGTGATGTGAAATGATGTCGTGTTGATAATCTTATACACTGAACTGATTATGTGACTTGTGGTTTCTAGTGTTATTGTTCAATGGTGTTTGTGATTGTAACATGATTGTTTGTGTTTGCTAGTTGACTTGGGTACCAGTACGCCTTATATAGTTCATCCCCACGGTTGACTCGAATTTCACGCATGATGTATGCTAATGGTTGGCTTAGGTACGACGTCTAGTACGAGGATATCCATATATGATTGGCTCCGGTACCATGTCGATACACTAACTATAGATAGCCCGGGTACCATATTGGTACACTAACAAATTGAGTTTGGGTTCATGAGAGGATTATGCATGTGTTTTTGGATCCATGAGAGGACCGCACAATGCATTTGTGATCATGTGAGACATGCATCCAGTTATTTGTTGTTTCATGATATATGACTGGGAGTCTGTACAGATTGATAGTTGTGTATGTGTGATCCTACCAGTATACTATGGTTTGTGTACTGATATTGCACATGTTCTTTTCTTGTTGAGTACATGCCATCTTTCAGCTGTTGATTCAAGACCTCAAGTTAAGGGATGTCTAACTTTGAATCCAAGGTGAACTATTCTTTCAGGCCGTCATGAATTTCTCTATTCTTCTTGTCCGTCTTTCTGGACTACGACATTCTTAGATTTTTGTTATTGTTTTAAGCTTCGGGGTTGCATCCCCTTTATTTAGACAATAGAATTTTGATATCATGACTTTCAATTCTTAGGGGTTTATTTTCGCACAAATATTTTTTATTATTGGATTGAGTTTATGAGGGCTCAATTCTTTCACTACTAAATTGCTTTGGACTATTGATTGAGTTTATGAATACTCAATCCTTAGTTGTTTGAAAAACTGTTTATCTTGTTTTTATATGATGAACTTGCTTAAAATAATGACATTTGGGGTTTATATCAGTTCTTTCAACAGGTGATTTAGTGTGGGTAACACTCACGATGATCTAGATCGTGAAAATTTACACTACTAAAACATTACTATTTATTCATGGGAAAGTATAGGTATTTTTGTAAATATATTTTAATTAAATCAGTAAAAAAAAAAACTACAGTATTTTCATAGGAAAAAATTATAAAAATTAGTGTGTTTCAATGAGAATCCATTTTTCATTGAAACATCAATAACGTTCACATTTAACTTTTCTCTTTTTTCAATAATGTTTGCACACACATAACACAATTGATGGACCCCAAAGCATCGAAAAGTCATCACTCATTTGAGCATTGAACTAAACAAACTCCATATAAAACGACAAACAATAATTTTCCCGTCACCAATTCCCAAAACCCTTTTAACACTATTATATTCAAACTCTACTCTTGGATTCTTTGTCCTAATATATTTCCCTCTAAACTTTTCCTTTTGGCCTCTTCTTTTCATTTCCATAATACCCTACACATACACCTAAGTCAAAACCCCTACAAATACATATCCTTCATTCATTTCCCACAAACTATTATTATCTCTTGTTTCATTTCTTGAAAAGAGAAAAAAAATATGGTGCAACTTGAAAATGGTACAAATTTTTTCATCAATGACAATGTTGATGTGTTGATAGTGATATTGCAAAGGCTAGATGGTGGTTCCTTAGGTGTAGCTGCATGTGTTTGTAAGTTATGGTGTTCCATCACTAGAAATGATTCCCTTTGGGAGCACCTTTGCTTTCGCCACGTGTCTCCTCCCCCGGAGGGTGTGAGGACGGTGGTTTTGGCTCTTGGAGGGTACCGAAGACTTTATATGGTGTGTGTTAAGCCAGTCTTGGACCGGCTTAGGAAGTGGAGGAAAGGAACGGGTTTTGATGAGTCGGAGGTAATGAGAAGAGTTTGGATGCAGCATGAAGTGGAACTTTCATTATCGTTGTTTTGTGTGGATTATTATGAAAGAGTGTTTTTGGGTGGTGGTGGTGGTGGAGGTGGTGCAGCAGCATCATCACTTATGTTCCTATGCAATGCCGTTAATGTTTAGGAAAGTAATGAAAAGAAGGATGTTGCGTTAAGATACCGGGAGGGTTAATTCTTTTTATCTTTGCTCTTATTTTTTATTGTTGGTAATTCGAGATTTCTACCATTTATTGTTAATGAAGTAGAGCACTACTTATTAATAAATAAAACTACTTAATATTCTAATTAGATTATTGTTTGTGTATTCTTACTATTGAATATTGGCTCTATATTGTGGGTTGCTTCATGTAGACTGACCTGACAACCCACCCTATCACTTATAAGTTAACGTGGAAATGGGTGTCACTTAACTTTCTATTCTTCAAAAGATAATTTTTTTTCTCTGATTTGTTTTCTCCCAACACACGAGAGAAAAGGCATTTAGTTCGTTGATTAAACGTTGTGAGTTTGACTTGGGGAATTTTTTGATGGTGGAACCAGGGGCGGCTCTAATAAATCGGTGGCCTAAAGCAAAATTCGAATGGAGGCCTTAAATTCGAATAAATATTTTTTTATGAAGTTTATTATAGCCAATTATTTAATCTTTCTTGAGACATAGTACTCATAATTTATCAAACTTCTATTACTTCCTTGTTCTTTTATGAAAATATTATATTTTCTACAAATTATACGCGATATTTAAAAAAAAAATATGTATAACCTATTGTATTTTTAAAAAATGAGGCCCCTCAAATTTTGGGGCCTAAGGCAGTTGCTTTTTTTTCAAAGCTGTAGAGCCGCCACTGGGTGGAACTGGGTTCAATAATCAACATTGGGTTATAAAGGTACATAATTCGTTGTTCTCGCTTTGCTATTTAATCGTATATTGATATATATTAGAATCAAAATTTGCATACAACATGTTTGATTTGTTTGTTCTTAAGATAAGGGTATACCAAATATATACTCTCTTATTTGGAAATTACCATGGACACGAAGCAGATAAAGTATTACTACTATTTGATTAAATACTCTAATAAACATTCACGTATAAATTAATAAAGAAATATAAGGGCAAATAATTGATTAAATCATGAGGTACACCAACCATTTGAAAAATACAAGTCAAATACAGGGTGGATCATGTCCTTGAGTTTATTTCAACGTTTATGCCAAATAATGGGACTAGCTAGTTTGATTATTACCAGAATAAGAATCACCCCAATGTGGGTGCTAATTTAGGAGTTTTTTAAGTGATTACTTAAAAGTTAAAAGTCAAAAGTAGCTAGGTAGCTACCTACTTTTGACTTTTGCTTTATTTGTTTGTACTCCATCTTTTTCTATTTATATGTCGTTTTTATTAAAAATTAGAGCTCTTAATATGGATTGACCCATTCCATTTGGACTAACCCATACAAGCTTTGAAATTTGACGGGTCAGGTCAGACTAGTTCATTTTTTGTGTTGACTAGAAAATGATCGGTCCAGCCCACAAGTTCGTGGGCTATGAGTTTGCCGGACCAGTCTTTTTTTCTTAAAAGTATATTTTTTTTATAATTTAAAAATATTATCATAAATATCGACAAGACAATATTATATGGTGTTAGTGTTCTACTTGTTAATCAAATACATAAATAAAATTATTTTTATAATATTTATTAAGTTTGATTTTAAGTAAAAGCATAAATAACTAAATATAAATATTAACCTAATTATTTTCCAATGATCATAATAAAACACAAAAACTATGACAATATTCCATAGGTTCTGACCTATGTAGTGATTTCCTAGAAATTTTAGGGAATTTTTATTTTACATAATACGTATTCTATAAACATAATTTGTATTTAAATTGTAATATTTCAAACTTTAAATTGATTTTGAGTTTAGACTCTTGTTATTTTTAATACTCTATATTATTTTTTATTTTTAATTAATTTTTATTTGGTCCACGGGCCGGCCCTATCCATATTTCTCAAGCCCCACAAATCGGCAGACTTATTCAGGCCGGGCTAAAAAGCCCCTTTCTTAAATGGGCTCCAAAAATCGTAGCTCAGTCCTATCAAATCCCGAGTTAGGCCAAGCCGGCCCAACGGGCCTAGCCCATATTGACGGCTCTATTAAAAATAAACGGTCCCCAATATTTGTCATTTCACAAAATAAATACATCAATGACATTTGTCTTTCTATTTTACCCTTCGAAAGTTATTTGCCTTGAAAATATATATTTGACTAACATGGAAAAACTAAGTAATCAATTCATATTCATTGATCAAATTAGTTAATCAAAGTAAATTAATTATGTTCATGTATTGAAAACTTGACTTCAAGAGAACACTACATAAGTATATAATGGTAAACTTACCTAGTTTCTTTAGGAGCGTGAAACTTAAAATGATAACAATTAAATAGAAACGGAGGGAGTACTTTTTAAGCCTAAAATAAGCTTTTAAGCGCTTTGTATCTTTGTCAAACACCTCTAAAAATTAAAATAAAAAATAAAAAATTCTGCATTATAGCAAAATATTAATTCAAAATAAATGTTATAAACTACCGTTCATTTAATTCCAATTCGCAGCAAACGTTTCACTTTTCTTGTCATTCGGATGTTCTTGCCATTCGTCTCTCTCCCCTCTCTCTAGAATCTCGCACACCACTCTCGTCTTTTCCAGTCTCTCTCTCTTTCCTCTCTCCTTTCCCTGCCCCCTCTCTCTCTCTCGATTCTCTTCTGTTAATCTCTCTTTCACTTTATACAAACACAAACGTATAATTTGTGTTTGTGTTTGCATAAAGTGAGAGAGAGACCGTATATACAAATACAAATCTCTCCGCCCTATACACTTATAATTATACAAATACAATCTTCCCATGCCCAGTTCTCTTTTGCTTCTCTCTCTCTCTCTCTCCCGCTTTATAGAAACACAAATTATACACTGTATAAAGCGAGAGAGATTTGATATACAAATGTTTTAACTCGATTCAATTGTAGACGAATTCAAATTTTATGCATATATACAAACACAATCATTGATACATATACATAGTAGTTACATATATACAATTATCTAATTGAAATACATATACAATTCACCTCTCTCGCTCGCCTCTCCCCTCTCTCTTCCAATCTCATTCACCACTCTAGCCTAACACATAGAACATATACATATACAAACACAATTTTCATAGACATAGACGAATTAGCGCCCGATTTATACAAATCGCTGCGATTTATACAAATCAGATGCTCCATAGCAAACATAATTTAGCTATGGAGCGCAAATAGCAAAACTGTAGCAATAAAATGCTAATATGATTATTATCTTTGCTATTTCTAAAATATACTCTTAAAAAAATGCTTAAAAGCCAAAAAAACACTTATAAATAAGTCAATCCAAACACCCTCTAATATTCACAAGTCTAACATAAATAACAACTTTATGCAATTAACTATTCTTAAGTCTATGCCATTGAGTTTATCACATAGTTTATGCTAACTTCTTGACTATCTCAATCTCAAGATTGGATTTTTATGAAGGTATTCCAATCCAGAATTTCAGGCAAATTTCTACAATAATTCTACTTGAATCACATTCTTTAGCTCTCTCTCTCTCTCTCTCTCTCTCTCTCTCTCTCTCTCTATACTCCAAGTGTTTAAATTATTGAGTTTATTTTATACTCTAGGCACACTCGTTAACCTATTTAGTTTTTCTCTTCTAGTTATATCACAATTTTTAGTTTATTGGGCCACTTAATACTTCTTAAAAATCAAGCCCATGTACATACAAATATAAGAAAATTACACTAGCTGACGGCCCATAAGATTTGTTTATCATATTTTAAGCCCAATTTATAAATTTTACTAAAACTGGCCATTTGGCCTATTAAAAAAAAATTGGTTGTCTTCTTCATCCTTCATCTGTTTTCTGCATTTTTCTTCATTCTTGTTCTTGTTCTTGTTCATATTCTTTCTCCTCCTTATTCATCTTCTAATTTTGTTGCTGCTGATTAATTTTCTTCTTCATGCTCTTCTTTCTCCGTTTTCTTCTTCTTTAAAATTAAACGTGAATCATTTCGTATAAATTATATATCAAAAGATTCGAAACATTGTGCGGATTTCATATCTAAAGTTTTAAAATGTTTAAAGATAATTTTGAGTTGATCGAAATTGAATTCTATGTATAATTCATGTATAGTTAATGTATACTTCATGTATAGTTAAGCTGTTTCAATGTATCATAATATATGTTCAATGTATATCTCATGTATATTTAAGTTATATTGTATAGAAGTGTATACTTTCTATGACTTTTGGTAAGATAGATTTTATAGTTAGTGTATATTTCTTATGATTTTTGACTATTGACTATTTTTTATGTAGATAAAACATGACTATATTTATTATATATATATGAAATCAACCCTTTATATAATGTAATGTATAAACAATGCATATGAATGTGTGTGTATATATATATATATAATTATACAGTATGTATACAATATCGATATATTTCATTACTATTTATACAATATCGATACATTACATATACAACAATTATTTTTGAAAATTTTTCTGTCACATGTATCGAAGAGTTAGAAATTTGCTCCATCATATTATTTTCATTGAGATACAAAAAAAATCAGCTTACCCACAATTTTTCTCCCATTTAGCTACAATTTTCGTGTGGCAAAACCTCGCAATTTAATACTTTTGGGATATTTTTTATGTAAAAAAATTATGGCAACATTTATTATAAGCTAATTACTTTGTTGTATATATATGAATTGATTCTTAAAAAATACCCCACATAAACCACTAGTAGAAGTCCATGGTTATTCTCTTTTCTTGACCATGACAATCCACAAAATTTGAGCGTAATTTATGGGGGAATGAAACCAAGAAACATAAAAGACATAGGAATGTTAAATGAAATTATCTTGAGATTACTCACACAAAAGTTTTTTAAAATTTCTAACATCTTGCTCCATGTTAGAATTTTGATGAACTGAAAGCTCACTATATATTCAGGTTGAAAGTCAAATAAAAAAGATTTTTTACATTAATGAATTCTTTTAGATTAATTAT